TAATAAACTTGTCCAAGGTGAGGGGCTGCATTCATTCATTTCCCAGAACACCCATTCAGTTTGTAAAGGTATTTTTCCATCTACCAAGTCCTGACTGAAATATCTGGACTCATGCAGGAAACCTCTGACCTGGGCCTCCTCCCCCCTTTCTGAGGCTGTTGACCCTGGAGACCTGTTACTGATATGGATACAACCCCATTTCTCATGAGATTTACACTCTCTCCTCCAGATTTTCAAGGGCCATCCAGAGCTCACCAGACTGCCTGAACAGGAACACTTTCCAAGGCATGGCCCCTCTGCCAATAGCTCTGGCACTCTTTACTCCTTCTGCATGCCCCTCAGTCCAACAAAATCCCGTTTTATCACTGATTAAGCCTGCGGGCTCAATTCTCAAATTCCTGAGACCAAAAACTCACTGAAAAAATTCTAGTAACAAAACTACAAAATCCTTTCTAATGTCTTTTCTTTTTCCCCCTAGACCCACATGGCCACCACCAAAGACAGAAAGCGGAAAACCTGGAACTTACAGTTCCCTCAGAATAGCCAGGGGGCAAAGTTCAAGCAGGGAAGAAGGGCACACTTACACATTTGTTTCACCTTGTGAATGAGGGGGAGACCTCACCTATTGTTATCTATTTCTTAACCTGGGCAGCCGCAATTTCCCACTCGAGCTGCCACTTAGCCATAGGAGGCAAACCAACACTCCCCTAGGCCCTGTGATGGGAGATCCAACTCCACTTTTGGAATTCTCTTAGTCACATCACATCCACACACTCTCACACACCTCTCAACAGACTTGCCAGTGATCTAACACCCAAGGAGGTGATCATGCTCCTCTTCCATTAAAATTGTAGAGGGCCCCAAATGGATACTACCTTAGCTTAGACATCTCCCTGTGTAGTTACTTGTTCCTGCATGCCAGTTCCTCCCAGTGTTTGACTCCTAGAAGACCCACCAAAGGGGTCCTTTCTCTGCCCAGTCGAGGCATCCATACAGGGAGGCCAAACTGCCTCCCTGGCGCACTCAGTGGTTCACATCTCCCAGGCCAATCAGGGCCCCCCACGTGGGTGTCCAGAGGATTGGCAGCAGCTACCAGGTGCATGGTCTCTCCAAGGGTGATCACCCTTCCTGGTCAGGGAACAAAAAATGTTGCAGGAAGACAAGGCCCATCAGAGAGAAAGAGCACCCAAACACCATGTTGATAAGAGGAAGGGCTTTATTCATCGGTCGGGAGCTTACGGCATAGAAGATTTCCAAGTGGCTGCGCTCCTTGCTTAGCTTCTTATTGGAGGATCCATCCAACACTGCCAAAGGAGTGTTAAAATCTTTGACTATTATGGTGCTGGAGGCAATCAAGTTGCTCATATTGGTTAGCGTCTCTCTTATAAATTGATGTGCATTCTGGTTGGGTACATAAATCTGAATAATTGAAATCTTATCATGTTGAGTGTTGCCCTTAACAAATATGAAGTGACCATCGTTATCTTTCCTTACATTGGTTGGTTTAAAGCCTATTGTATCTGCGAATAAAATTGCAATACCTGTTTTTTTTCTTTTGATTTCTATTTGCCTGAAGTATAGATGAGCATCCCTTCACCCTGAGTCTATGTTTATCTTTAAAGGTAAGATGGGATTCTTGTATTCAGCAGATATTTGGCCTGAGGTTTTTTTTTTTTTTTTGGCCTGAGTTTTGTATCCAGACAGCGATCCTGTGCCTCTTTAGAGGACAATTTAAGCCATTCACATTAATTGAAAATATTGATAAGCCCGGTAGAATTTTGGGTATCGAGTGTTTCAAAAGTCCAGTGGACATTTTTATTCCTTTTGCCACTTTGAAAGTTGGAATTTGATCAAAGTTTCTGAGTGAGTTTACTTTTGTGGTGGAGGATTGTGCCGGTCATTAAGGAGTGTAGGCCTGAGAATATTCTGGAGAGCTGGTTTGGTTATTGCAAATTTCTTCAACATATGAACGTCATTAATGTATTTAATTTCTCCATCATAAATGAAACTCAGTTTAGCTGGATACAGGATCCTGGGTTGAAAGTTGTTTTGTTTTAGGAGATTAAAAGTCGATGACTACCCTCTCCTAGCCTGAAAGGTTTCAGCTGAGAGATCAGCAGTCGTTCTCATATTCTTCCCCTTGTGGGTTATGGTTTTCTTATGTCTGACTGCTTGCAGAATTTTCTCCTTCATATTAACTTTGGTGGAGTTAATTATAATGTGTATGGGAGATGCTTTGTTTCACTTGAGTCTCGTTGGGGTTGTGAAACTGTCTGCTATCTGAATTTCAGAATCTCTTGCCACGTTTGGGAAGTTCTCTTCCATTATGTCTTTGAGTAAGCATCTGGGCCTTTTGAAGCAACCTCATCACCTTCAGGAATTCCTATAAGGCAAATATTAGTTTCTTCAAATTATCCTGATCATCTCTGAGAGAATAATCCATTTTTGTTCTTCACTTCTCTTCCTTTTTGAGCATTTGGGAGCGTTCAAAAGCTTTTTCTTCAATGTCTGAAATCTTTTCTTCTGCCTTCCCCATTCTATTACTGAGGGATTCTACTATATTTCTCAGATTTTTGAGGGGTGCAAGTTCTTGCCTCAATGTGTTAAAATCTTTGGTGATTTTGTCTTTGAATTCTTGAGACAACTTTTGAAATGTTCCTTGAATTTCTCATTCCAACTTTACCTCCATTCTATTACTCTTATTCGCAATCCAAATTCTGAATTCAATTTCTGACTTCTCAGCCATTTGTTTATGAATGGGATCTTCTGTTGTGTCCACCATGTCATTTCTTGGGAGAGTTGATCTACTGTGGTTATTCACGTTATCAGAGTTTTTCTACTGATTCCACCCCATGATTATTTTACGCCTTTTGGCTAGATGAGCAGATAAGGTGCTCCTGGAGTAGTATTAACCAGCCCTTTGCCCAAGAGCTGGGACTGGTGTCTGTACTTTTCCCCCTAAAGTTATGCAAAGAACCCATACAGTGCTACAACCGGAGACACTGGGGACTTGCTTGGTGTGTTAGGGCTAGGTGGCTCTGTCTTGTTTTCAGCTGGTCTCTGTCCTACTCCAGTGAATCAGGTACTCTGCATAGAAGTCTCAGCTGTGGAGACATACCAGCAATTAAGTCACCCCGCCCCCAACAGGCAACAACTGGAAAAGGAAAATCAAACCTTTCCACAATCACACACCCAGGGTACCACTTAGGATAGTCCTCGGGTGATTTGCTAAGTTCAAGAGATACAAATCACTTGTTCCAGTCAGCACCTGGTCTCAGGTGTGAGCGTTCCAAAGGTCCTTGGCAACTAGATGGCAGGGGTCTGCTGACAGCTCGAGTATGACTCATTCTGGTATTCTGTGGAGTTAGAAGGATCCACCCAGCAAATAAATTAGTGTGGGAAGGTTGATGCCTCCTTACCCACCTCCCTCCTCTGTCACATCCAGTCACTGGTAAGCATGCAGGGCTGTGACCCAGTTCTCTCTTATGAGCAGATGCTCCATGGGTTTGCGCCTGTCTGAGTCACAGGGAGATCTATGTCTCTTTGGCCAGGCTGCCGTTTTCTGCAACTATCCGCCAGGGGGAGCTGAGGCCTGACAACCTTGGGTGCTTAGTGTAAGTTGGGTGGGTTCACTCAGTTCCAGCCTTGCCCCTCATTGATGTTGCTGACACTTATATTTTTGCAGAATTTCTTTCTATCCTGGCTATATTCCCCTGCGGACCTGGTACTGTTCGACTTTACAGAATCTAGGACTGAGCCCCATCTGTGCTGCTGCCCGGAGCTGGCGTGTCTTTCTCTGCTGCTCTATGTGTTGGGCTGGTGATGTTATAGCTCACACTCAACTCTCAGTTCCTGCCTCTGCCTGCCTGCTTTTGTCTCAGCTATGATCCTTCAGGGGCCGGGTGCTTCTTAAGCTCACTAAAGCTGTCCTTCTGATTCAGCCCCACCCTGGGAGTATGCTGTCTGTGTACACGAATTCTAGTCTCCGTACCCCTCTCTTCCAGGCAGATACCGCCTCAGGCATACTCTTTATTCACGGGGCCTGCGTTTCCATTTCAGATCTGTTCTGCCAGTGGCTGCCACCAGAGAAGATGCCCGGCTTCTCTGGTTTCCCAGAGAGGCAGAGAGTGTCTCTCTAAAATACACCAGGGGTTTCAGCCCTATTGTTGCTGCTGCTTCTGCTGCTGCTCTCTGCCACAGGGCACCACCTCTCCATCTCCCATACGGTTCCCTCAGTTCACTGTCTTCTCTTTACTCCTGTGCCGCAGAAGCAGCACAGATCTGCAGTAGCCCACACTCTGTCCACGCCTCTTGATAAATTGCCCAAGAATCTGAACTCCATGGGGGACAGGCTTCCAGACCTCAGGGTGAGAGTGGAGGGGAGTGCTGGGAGTTCAGAATTGCAGATAGAGAATATATACAGTTTTATACAGTTTATGCCTGGTGGGAGAGTGCCATGGCACACTGGTAGGTCCCCTCTGGGGAAGGAGTTCTGTTTTTTAGAGGGTCTCTTCCATGGGATAAAATAGGAGGATACCTTAACTCTTCCTGCTTGTTTGTAGAAACTATGTTCTCATGGGGGAAGGGACTCTCATCCGCTTGGTGATGGATTTTGTACCTATTATTTGTTTCCTTGTGGTCACAGCTTGCCTCAGCAGGGTTGATGTGTGTTTTTCAACATTCTATCTTGGCTCAGCTCCATACCATCAGCTTACTTGCTGAACTTCGTCCTTTAACTCTCCTTCTGGATTGGAGCCTCTGTGGAAGCTGGCTCCAGTTGGCCATGTTGCCTCTGCCCCCTGATTTCTTTTTTTATATTAAAAATGCTACCCTTGGAAGGATAACTTTTGGTTTTAGATTTGCTATAACAGACAATAGAAAGCAACTTAGTGATGGCAATCATAGTTCATAAATTATCAATTATGTGATTGACCCTAGTAATGTTCATACAATAAGCTGGGCATGTTTATTTACATGTGGTCTTTTGTTTCTTTGTACAGGTACTTAAAACGATTTAAAGTCATGAAACCGAAGGTCTTAAGAAGCTGGTGCAGGCAAATTTTGAAGGGGTTGCAGTTCTTGCACACTAGGACTCCCCCTATTATTCATCGGGATCTGAAATGTGACAATATTTTTATCACGGGACCTACAGGATCTGTGAAGATTGGTGATCTAGGACTGGCCACCTTAATGCGTACATCATTTGCTAAGAGTGTCATTGGTGATTAACAATTTACAGTTCACTGGTTGGGTAAAGAGAGATTTTTCAATTGTTTAGGTCTAGAGCAACTATGAACGTAGGTGAAATCTGGGTCATGGCTTATTTTGTGAAACAAATTTTAATGGAACATAGCCACACCCAGCCATTTACTGACTGTCTATGGCTACTTTTGCTCTACAGTAGCAGAGTTAAGTAGTGTGACAGAGACCATATGGAGTGCAATGCCTAAAATATTTGCTATTTGGCCCTTTATAGAAAAGTTTGCCAATTCCTGGCCTAGACTGTGAATTTGCTTTGAAATATCTATTACATATTGACTTATTTCTGAGACATCATAGTGTATTTTTTGTGGAGATATATTTATGATTATTGAATAGTTATGAGGACTTAAGGAATTGTACTAAGTTAATTTAGAAAAATTTGAAGGGATAAAAGGGATAGAAATAAAAACATTTTATTAATCATTATCTAATCTTGAGCATTACAAATTGTACTTTTATCAGTGGAGAAAGTTAAGGAAATTCGTTAAGAGCTTCACATAGATATAGCAAGTACTCAACAAATTTTATACTTATAAATTTGCTTATATACTTAAGAATTGCCTGTGTAGAAATTAACACAGGTAATCTTTATGGGAAAAAGAATGTGATCTTGTTGATATTTTTCTCCTCAATAAAAATGTGGTTGTGATGTTATTTTGTAGGGACTCCTGAGTTTATGGCACCAGAGATGTATGAAGAGCATTATGATGAATCTGTAGATGTCTATGCTTTTGGAATGTGTATGCTGGAAATGGCTACTTCAGAATACCCTTATTCTGAGTGTCAGAATGCAGCTCAGATATATCGTAAAGTAACTAGTGTAGGTATAACTTTATTGTTTTTACTTTATAAATTGTTACATTCCATGTTGAAATTAGTAATGTTCACTTAGGCAAACCTTATTTTGGTTTAGTTCTGTATAATCATGCTCAATTTAACAATTGTAATGAAATGAACTTTGTATTTATATTATATACCTATAGTTTATTGGGGTCATATAAAATGCTCTGTATTAGTATCTTTGGGTAAATGAACAGATATGTCATCCATATCCATTTGTTTGTAAAGAAATTTTAGATATTTATTAGGCAGATTTTGTTTTTCAAAGCTGAGTAATAGAGATTTGCTAAATGGTTTTGAAGATTTTTTGTGGTTCTAAAAGCCTGATTATGAAGGGGCCTTCAAAATACAGTTCAACTGATACAATATTTGGGTCCTTGCTATGAGTAATTTTTTTTGCGTGTGTTAGAAATTGCAAGTAATGCAAAGATAAATAAGAAGTGTTCATTTCTAGTAGGGGACAGTTGAAGTTCATTAATAGCTATAAAATAAGAGGATGAGAGTATAATAAAGGGATATAAGAAAGGTAGAAGTGAAGTATTTGAAGGAAGACTACTTCATATCCAGTTGGGTGGGTCAAGGTAGATCATGAAAGAGATTGTTGAGAGTGTTTCAGGCAGCTAATGTTAATAAGTACTGGTTTGTGTGTGTGTGTGTGTGTGTGTGTGTGTGTGTGTTTGTTTTTGAGACTGAGTCTCACTCTGTCACCAGGGCTAGAGTGTCATGGCCTCAGCCTAGCTCAACAGCAGCCTCACATCCCCTGGGTTCAAGCCATCCTCTTGCTTCACCCTCCTGAGTAGCTGGGACTACAGGTGCCTGCCACAACACCCGGGTAATTTTTCCATTTTTAATAGACTTGGGGATCTCACTCTTGCTCAGGCTAGTCTCAAAGTCCTGAGCTCAAGAGATGCTCCCACCTGGCGTCCCAGAGTGGTAGGATTATAGGCATGAGCCACTGCACCTGGCCCATTAATATTATTTTTATTTATTTTGACACAAGTCTTACTCTGTCACCCAGGCTGGAGTGCAGTGGCATGATCAGAGCTCACTGCAACCTCCAGGGCTCAGAAGTGATCCTTTTCTCTCAGACTCTTAAGTAGCTGGGAGTATAGGTATGCGCCACTGTGACTAGCTAATTTTTTATTATCTTTTTGTAGGGATAAGATCTTGCTGTGTTGCCAAAGCTGGTCTTGAATTCTTGGCCTCCTACCTTGACCTCCCGAAGTGCTGGGATTACAGACATGACCTACTGCACCCAGCCTTATTAATATTTTTTTTAATTAACACATTGTAATTGTATAACTTTATGAGGTATAGTGTGGTGTTTTGATACATGCATACAATGTGGAATGATTAAATCAAGGTAATTAACATTATCTGTAACCTCACTTATTTTTTTTTTTTGTGGTGAACTATTTGAAATTTACTAAGTTATTTTGAAATATATATTATTATTGACCATAATATTGCTATATAGTGATCTCTAAACTTCTTCCTCCTATATAACTGCAACTTATACCCTTTGAGCAACAATTCCCTATTACCTTCTCTTACCTCTGGCCTCTGGTAACCATCATTTTACTTTTGACTTCTGTGAGTTTGACATTTTAAGAGTCTGTATATATGTGAGATCATGCAGTGCTGTCTCTTTCTGTCTGGCTTATTTCACTTAACATAATGTTCTCTAGGTTGATCCATGTTGTCATAGATGGTAGAATTTCCTTCTGTTTTAAAGCCTGAATATAGTATTCCATTGTGTCTATATACCATATTATCTTTATCCATTCATCCATTGATGGATACTTAAGTTTTTCCCATATCTTGGCTTTTGTGAATAAATGCTGCAATGAACATGGGAGTGCAGATATCTCTTCAACATATTGATTTCAATTCCTTTGGGTATATACCCCAATGTGGAATTATTATGGTAGTCCTATTTTTAGTTTTTTTTTTTAGGAAACTCCATAACATTTTCCATGATGGCTGTACAAATTTATATTTCTATTAACAGTATACAGGAGTTCCCTTTTCTCTGCATCCTTACTAGTACTTGTTATCTTTCATCTTTTTATAATAATTATTCTGGAAGGTGTGAGGAGTCATTATTTTTTAATGTATACTGTATACCACATGCTTTAATGTTTGAATCTCTACAAGGTAGGTAAAGTCTTCAGTTTACAGATAATCACACTGAAAATCATGACAACTGTCATGCCCAGCTTCCCACAGCTACTTGTAATGGGGAATTTTAAACCCAAGTCTGTCTGACCATAGAGCAGTGTTTTTCAACCTTTTTTATATCACGGCTTACTTGAACCTGTAACTAAACTTCCGTGGGGACACTTAAATTATGTTGTTAAAAAGAGTTAAATGATATACTTACCGTGCTTTGAACTTCTTTTGAAAATAATTTAAGTAATGATATTTAGAATTTTTTGCAGCATGCTTAAGGTCCTCTCATGGCACACTGGTTGAAAATCACTGCTCTACAGGTTTGTATAAGGTGACAATAAGAAATGAGGCCATACTCCAGAATGTGGGGCATTCTATAGGATAAATGCTCTGTTTCTCTAACTAATCAATTTTGTGAAAGAAAAAGAGAAGGAGGCTTTCTTAGACTATAAGAGACTTAAGGGTAATGGTGATCTGGTAAATGTTTAATAACTGATTCTCTGCAAAAAAGAAAAAGTGCTCAGGCGGCACCTGTGGCTCAAAGGAGTAGGGTGCCAGCCCCATATACAAAGGTGGCGGGTTCAAACCCAGCCCCAGCCAAAAAAACGGCAAAAAGAAAAAAGAAAAGAAAAAGTGCTCATTTATAGTACAGTAGAACCTCTATAAGTTGACCACCCAAGGGACTATAACAAATTGGTCAACATATGGAAGTGTCAACATAAGGAACTAAGTCTTAGTACATGTGATTCATATGAGTCTGTTCTTTGAAAATTAGATCAACTTAAGAAGGTAGTTAACTGTGGAGGTTCTACTGTATTGCTCATTTTTGTGGTTTAAATCCTCCCACCATGGCTGATTTAAGGTTACCAATGTGACTTTACTGAATGCAGAATTGGGAAGAGACGTGCAATTGTACACAGTTTGTATGGTATTTCTATAATACAGATACCGTAGCTGTGAATAACCTCATATGCATAAATAATAAAATGTGGTGAAATAGTGTTGTTTCAGTATGAATTATCTTGGCTTTTAATATAATTGTCAGTTTATATAATTTTATTTTTTAAATGGCCATGTTTAACAATTGACTTGCAAAATTCCAGAAAATATAATACCTGGCAAACTAGTATGAGCCAGCTCCAGTGCGCCTTACATGTAATGCATAGAACTTATTTAGATCCTGGTTTGATCAAATCAGCTATAAAAAGACATGGAGACAGTTTTGAAAATCTGAGTGTGGACTGAGTATTAGATGATATTAAGCAATTAGTGATGATTATTTTAGGACAGATAATGACATAATTTTTAAAAATGTTTATCTATTAGAGGTATAAACTGGAAAATTTATGAGCAAAAAGATATGATGCCTGAGGTTAAAATATTCTGGGATACAAAAGTTGTGAGTGTAGATATCTTGAGAAAAGGTTGGAAAAATGTTGATTGTTGTTGAAGCAGATAATGGTTACGTGGAGCTTCATTATACATGTAGTCTACTTTCAAATATGTTTGAAAATTTCTATTAAGATCCCAGAAAAAGCAGATAGGGCTAGAATGTCTTTAATTTTGGCCTTTAAAGGGCCATCAATAGAAATGGATTTTGTAAGTTATAGCTCCCCAAATATTTCACTTTGGAACAGAGAAATCTAATAATTACCCAGAGATGGGAAATGAGCAAGAGATCAGTGGAAAGGTCAAAGAAGGCTTTTTCTATGAGTAGAATAATATAAGTCTAATTTTTGAAAAATGACTTTATTATTTTGTGTTATCACAAAAATCTATCACAATTCAGATTTCCATCTATCTTAAAGCTTCTTGATTTGGAGGGGTCCAAATTAACTCCAAATATTACTAGATTTAACTAGTATATGATACTGGGCCCTCTGATTCTGTGTCCTATGTTGTAGTATGAAAGGCCTAGAATTAGGTCTTATACTATCTCATTCCATAATAATTATTCTTTCCATTATACCCTTCTGCTTCTAGCTTAGTTTAAAATTTTCTATTAAATGACTATAATGATCTTTCTTAGATTGGTTTTGTACAATCTAACACTTATGGAAAGTAAAATAAGGCCGGGTGAGGTGGCTCATGCCTGTAATTAGCACTCTGGGAAGCCAATGTGGGTGGATTGCCTGAGCTCACAGGTTTGAGACCAGCCTGAGCCAGAGCAAGACCCTGTCTCTAAAAATACTTGGGCAGTGTGGTGGGCACCTGTAGTCCCAGCTACTTGGGAGGCCGAGGCAAGAGAATCGCTTGAGCCCAAAAATTTGAGGCTGCTGTGAGCTGTCACGTCATGGCACTCTACTGAGGGTGACAGTGTGAAACTCTGTCTCAAAAAAAAAGAATGTAAAATAAATTAAGGTAGCTAACACAGTTATCATAGGAACATTTTGATTTGTCTGGACCTTGTTTATTTGTTATTGAATTTCTAGAACCCGATAATTTGAGGTAGTTTTTCTTAATATTTAGTATTGCTTATGGATAAAAATAATATAGATTTCTCAAATTTTTATATATGTGCATATATATTCATATATACATAAACATATATACATACATACATATCTGTTGATTGCTCATTCTAGCTACTCTAGGAGACTTTTAAATATATTGAATGGGAATAGAGAAGCTGTTATTTTAAATTTTCAAAAGTTTAAAAATCATTATATCTCAGGCTGGGCACACCTGGGACATGCCTAAGTGGCTTATGCCTGTCATCCTAGCACTCTAAGAAGCCGAGGAGGCTTCTGAACTCAGAAGTTTTAGACCAGTCTGAAGAAGAGTAAGACCCTGTGTCTAAAAATAAACAGGCATTGTGGAGGATGCGTATAGTCCCAGCTGCTCAGGAGGCTGAAGCAAGAGGATCCCTTGAGCCCAAGTGTTTGAGGTTACTGTGAGCTATGATGCCTCAGGGCAACAGAGTGAGACCGTCTAAAAAAATCATTATTTTTGATTATAAAAAGTACTTATTTTCTTATTGGAATTGATACTGTATGTACATTTTGAGATTCTGCTGTTTTCCCTACTTAGTATTACATTGTGATTATTCTTCATGTCATTCATTACTCTAAGGAGATTTTTAGTTTCTGTATAATATTATCATATATTATAAAACATAATGTGTATAATTTGCCTCTACTGTTGGAGATTTAGATTATTTATATTTTTATAGTTATTTGTAGAAGTATGAAAAATCCTTGTCAGAAAAGTTATAAAACATGTACTGTGTGTGTGTGTGTGTCTGTGTGTGTATATACATATATATATATGTATGTTTTCTTTTGTTTGTTTAAAACTTAAATATGCTTTAGTTACTAAAGATGATAAGTAAGTTTCATGTTGACTTGGGCTTTCAATTGCTTTCAATTGCTTTCATTAAGCAACCAGAAACTACTTTTTTTCTCCCAGGGCATAAAACCAGCCAGCTTTCATAAAGTCACTGATCCTGAAGTGAAAGAAATTATTGAAGGATGTATTCGTCAAAACAAATCTGAAAGGTGGGTATAAGTGTAGTGTAGTGACATAATTGATGGATGTGTTTTTTCTCTTATCTTGAAGTGGGTGATTTTCTGACCTTTGAATCATACTGAGTATGATATTTGAGTGGAAGCCAAACCATACTGTCTAGAGTGAAGTGTATGTTGTTTGCTATCTTTTTAGATTTTGATATCGTGTGCTGAATATTTCTTGAACTGACATTTGGGTTGTGTTCATCTGTGTGTGTTGTGACAAGTTTTAATCACTTTTAACCATCAGCTTAATAGTCAATAGGCCCTCACAGGTTAATTTGCTCCTAAAAATTAAGAATAGAAGAAATTTTTTATTCAATCATATACCTTTGTATCATGATAAAGCTAATGTGGATTTTTTTGTTTAAGAAATAGCTTTCTACCCAACAATAAAAAAAAAAAGATTTACACAATATGGAAAAAAAACAAATAGCTTTCTATATTTATTCCTATCACAATTTGTGTTTGTCTTATGGACAGGTGCCTTTAGTCTTAACTTTTTTTTTTTTTAGTCTTAACTTTTACTAACCTTTAATTTGAACTTTGGACAACTGCTGACTTGAATTGGTAGGTTCATGTTTTAGTTTTTACCTCCTTATTGATAATTAATAAAGGTAATTCATCCTTTGTATCAATTATTTCCACTAGCATTTCATCAATCCTCCCTATTTTTATTAGTTTACTATATAGGTTTAGTGTTGTATATCTGAGAATATACAAAGACAGCAAAGCAAGTCATGTTAAATTATAGCATTTTTACAGAACATTCTTCATGTTTGTACAGACAGGCAATATCTAAGTATTTTTTAAAAAATATTGGTACACTATGCATAACCTAAGCTTTACCATATAGGCTGTTTTTAAGTGTACAATTCAGTGGTATTAAGTACATTCATATTGTTGTATAACTATCACCACAGTTCCTCTCCAGTATTTTTCATCTTTCCAGACAGAAAATCTCTACCAATTAAACAATAACTCTTTCTAGCCCCTGGTAAACCATATTCTATTTTCTATCTCTATGAATTTGCCTATTGTAAGCAGGAGTGTTTGGAGTCAAACCATATTTATCTTTTGTTGCTGGCTTATTTTATTTAGCATAGCATTTTTGAGGTTGATCTGTGCTGTAGCATATATCTATTTCCTTTTTAAGGCTGAATAACATCCCATTGTATGTATATACCACTTTCTGTTTACATATTCACCTGTCAGTAGACATTTCAGTTACTTCCATCTTTTGGCTTTTGTGAATAATGCTGCATGGATTTTGGCCTACAAGTATCTGTTTAAGTACCTTCTTTTTTTGGGGGGTGGGGAGGGACAGTCTCACTATGTGGGCCTCCGGAGAGTGCTCTGGCATCACAGGTCCCAGCAACCTCAAACTCTTACGCTTAAGCAATTCTCTTGCCTCAGCCTCCCAAGTAGCTGGGGCTACAGGCACCCACCACAATGCCTGGCCCTTCTTTTGATTCTTTTAGGTGTATACCTAGGAATGGAATTGCTAGATCACATGGTAATATATTTAACTTTATGAGGAACCACTAAACTTTTCCCACAGCAGCTGTACCATTTGGGATTCCTGATAGCAATGTATGAAGGTTCCAGTTTCTCAACGTCTTCATACCAACACTCGTTATTTCCTGTTTTTTGATACTATCCATCTGAATTAGTGTAAAGTGGTATCTCATTGTGATTTTTAAAAATTTATTTTTTATTTTTTATCATGGTTTTTATTTGCATTTCCCAATGATGTAGAATACGTTTTTCATTTTTTTTTTTTTTTTGAGACTCACTTTGTCACCTCAAACTCTTGGGCTCGAGCAATTCTCTTGTCTTAGCCTCCCTAGTGGCTGGGAAGAGTAGCTCCAGACAGAGCACAATCCCTGTCTATTTTTAGAGATAAGGTCTTGCTCTGGCTCAGGCTGGTCTCGAACCTGTGAGCTCAGGCAGTCCACCCTGTTGGCTTTCCAGAGTGCTAGGATTACAGGCGTGAGCTACTGCGCCCAGCCCTAGAATACCTTTTTCATATGCTTATTGGCTACTTGTATATCTTTGGAGAAATGGCTATTCAAACCTTCTGCCTATTTTTAATTGGGTTTTTTGTTGTTAAGTTATAGGAGTTTAGGTATACTTTTAAAAATGAGGCTAAAATTTCTGTGTAGCTATTTTAACTTGGATTCTGATGGTTACAGGCTTTCAACTATGATCTCTTACTAAAGACCATTGAAATATTCAAAAGGATTAATGGCATATTAGTATATTGGAAAAAGCAAACTGAGAGTCAAATTTGGACTCACAGTATGATCTTGAGCAAGTTACTTAGTTCCTCAAAATAGGTGTTATTTTTAAAGTATGTATAATTGTTTATTTAATTTTTATTTTGATAGATGTAGAGGTATAAGAGGTACAAGTGGTTTTTGGTTACATGATGAATTATGTAGTAGTGATGTCTGGGTTTTTAGTGTACCTGTACCCATATGTAGTTTTTCCCTCATTTCCCTCCCATCCTACCCCATCTAAGTCCCCGGTATCCTTTGTACCACTTAAAATAGATATTATTTTGATGACTAAAAGGGTAATGAGTGTATATAAAATACCTAACAGTAATAAGTAGTCAATAAATGGTATCTTCTTCCATTGCTGTAATTATGGTTATAATTTTTCCTCAGTAAAAAGTACTTAAACAAAATTTTCATTGAGAGGAAGAGGACAGAAATTGGTTGTTGTCTCTCCTTAAATGAGTCTCACTTTAGACTTAAAACTAATTAGTTGGAGCAAGCTTATTTTTATGACACTGTCTTAGTTAAATATTTGCCTTTCATTCATTTACAATGTTAAGGGTTGAAAATATTCAATTTGCAGGATACCCTGCTGTCTCTATGCTTTTTCTGTGTAGGTAATATGAGAGGGATACTCTATGTGGACATTATGGATTATATCAGTTTCAGCTTACCCTACCCTGTAATACAAACATATTAAATATTGTGTATCTGTTTTAAAAGTTAGTAAAATAAATTAACTTATATATCTTGTAAAATATTTTGAAGCTGTGTCCTTTGTGTCTGTTCAGAGATGGTTGATCCCTGATATTAGGCTAGGATTGTATCCATTATATACTCTGGCCTCACACCAGAGTTAAATACTAAGAAAACCACTGATTTTGCCAAACCACATTAGCTTCACCCATGGTATTATCTAAGTTGTAAAGTACAGGATGGACATAAAGTTTGTGTGAGATTTACTACGTTAAACTACTTTAAACTGCCCGTGAACTTTATGTCCACCCTGTATACTGACTAGATTATTGTTAATGGAGTCAATGACTTCTATTGTAATGCTTTGTAAAAAGGTTAGAATTTATTTTTTCTTTTTTTGAGACAGTGTTTCACTCTGTTGCCCTGGGTAGAGTGCTGTAGTATCGTAGCTCATAGCAATCGCGAACTCTTGGGCTTAAGAAATTGTCTTGCCTCAGCTTTTCATTTTTAGTAGAGATGGGGTCTCACTCTTCCTCAGGCTGGTCTTGAACTCCTGAGCTCAAGCAATATAACAACCTTGGCCTCCCAGAGTGCAAGGATTACATGTGTGAACCACTGCACCTGGCCTAAAAAGTTAGAATTTATTTACTTTAGAGTTTATATATAAGAATTTTTATTTTCCTTTGCTGAGAATCTGTTGTTTCAGTTTGAGTAACTTAAGCAAGTGGCTTCAGGAAGCTCATCAAACCATAGAACATGTATTATAGTACATATACATCTCTAACTCTCTCTAGGCATACTTTTGTGTATGTTAAACATCATTATGTAGATATGTTACTGGTAATAATGTTGAATTTATGTCACTATATGTTCACGTTACTTGATATTTCTTTGTATCCCTGGTAATAAGTGGGGTATAAGATTTGCTTTTATAACAAGGCAGATTAATGATTTAATTAATAGAAAATTTAAAATAAGATTGTTGCATTTGCATGATTAATTTTTATTAGAGGATCTGCATCTTGGTTATGACTGGAATAATTGATAACTAGATGTGTATTTTGATTATTAGGTTGTCTATCAGGGACCTACTAAACCACGCATTTTTCGCTGAGGATACAGGACTGAGAGTTGAGTTAGCAGAAGAAGAAGATTGCTCAAATTCATCCTTGGCTTTAAGACTCTGGGTTGAAGACCCCAAAAAATTAAAAGGCAAACACAAAGACAATGAAGCTATTGAATTCAGCTTCAATTTAGAAACAGATGCACCTGAGGAAGTGGCATATGAAATGGTAGGTAAATCCTATTCATGTTCCCCCTATCCCTTGTAGTATCAGGATTAACATCTTCCCCCTCATGGCTTTCTTCTCATTTTCTTCTTTTTAAAAAATTTAAAGGCTGAGCACAGTGGCTCATGCCTGTAATGCTAGCACTCTGGGAGGGTGAGGTGGTTGTATGGCTTGAGCTCAGGAGTTTGAGATCAGCCTGAGCAAGAGCAAAACCATGTCTCTACTAAAAACAAAAAATCTAACTGGGCGTAGTGGTGCATAACTGCAGTCCCAGCTACTCAGAAGGCTGAGGCAAGAGGATCCCTTGAGCCCAAGAGTTTGAGGTTTCTGTGAGCTATGATGACACCATGGCACTTTACCTGTGACAGGGTGGCAGAGTAAGACTCTGTCTAAAAAAAATAATAATAATAAAAATAAATAAATATATTGAATTATTGTCAAATGTTATGTCTACAACAGGATATTGAGTTTGTATGCACATTATAAAGAATAATAAAACACTATGTATTTTAAGAAATAAAATATTACCAATACCTAAGAAGCCACACACGTGCCCCTCCTAGTTGCATTTTCCTTCCTTATCACCACAAGTAGTATCTACTCTGACTTTTGTGTTATCCATTTCTTTGTTTTCATTATAGTTTACCTAAGTAATATATTGTTTTATTTTGAAATCTTACATGACAAGCACACACCTAGATGGTTACAGAAGGGGTAAAGTTGGTATGATTAGGTGAATAGTAGCAGGAGAGGATAAGCTGAAGAGAATCTCTTGGTTATACTCTGGCTTTGGTTTCCCTACAGGTTTATAAGTGCTGCTTTTGAGGAAGTCGGAGTAAGGTTATGAGTGAGTCTAGGGAAATAAACCCATGGTCCAGCACAGTCAGGGGACCAGCAGGGCTATTCTGCACACCAGAAATTAGTTGTCTTATAACCATGTAGTTTGATAGGGAGTGTGCTGCTCTACCTCTTTGTTTCTCATCTTCCTGTGACCAGCCACACCCTCAATAATGGATCATAACAAGTAACTTCTGGCAAGTGAAATGCATGCCCACACTCAACTCCAGGCAAGGTGCTTTTAGGAGGGGTGTGCAGGAGCTGCAGCACCATGTGGTCAAGACCAGCCAAGTATAGACCATCTGATCCGGGCTCACCTGGACATTCTGATCTTAGTGTAAAAGGAAAGATGGGGCAATGATAGGGGGGATCTTGTAGATGCTAGCCTTTAACATGTCTGCCTGTCTGGTTTGGTTATACTGTTCTAATCTATAATGATTACCTTGAGCATCTGTTGTAAAACCACTACCCTGGTATTTCTCTTTATTATCTTCCTAGACTTCATTCACTTCTGTTTTGAATCTCATATTTCCTAAATCCCATGTCCTTTCTTTTTATGGCTTAGTGTTTCATTTCAGTGGCATGTTTCCTTTGCTAGTTTCTTCTGAAAAGGCGTGTGGAAGATAAATTCTTTAAAACTCGCATGTATGAAAATGTCTTTTTTATACTTGTATTTAATCAGTCATTTGGCTAGCTAAAGCATTTTAGGTTGTAATTTTTTTTTTTTTTTTTTTTTTATTAATTTTTTGGCTAGCTAAAGCATTTTAGGTTGTAATTTTTTTTTTTTTTTTTTTTTTTT